GTAGTGCAAATAAAATGGAGGACTCAACGCACAACCACTCAAGAATGTGAGATTGTGGCCTAGTGCAATAAGTGTCCAAAATTCCTAATGTTTTCTGTTAACATGGTAGACAGTAACAAGTAAAATTTGATTTTTCACACTCTCCCTAAAGACAAATCATAAAGTCGTGCAATTGGTCTATAATTTTGAGACCCTATCCACTGGAAATTTACAGCAAATAGCCCAAGTCCCCAATTAATTTAATTTAATGATAGCATGTTAATTGAAGCACATACCAAACAAACTGTGCTTCAAATTGTTCAGTTATATTCTATAGGAATGGAAGAAACATTTATCACAAAATGTTGTTAGTTGCTTCTTAAGTAATTGATAATTTGGGGTTTGTAAAGAAACACAAAAATAAATTTAGCCAGTTAACTGTGACAAGAATTTCTTAAGATAAACACAACAGAAATCTCCAAACCTAATTCTTTAAACTCATCATATGGAATACAGGAGAACAGTTATTTGGATGCAGAACTGGCTCAAGGGTACAAGACAGAGGGTGGTGGTGGAAGGTTGCTTTGCAGACTGGAGGACTGTGACCAGTGGTTTACCACAAGGATCGGTGCTGGGTCCACTGCTTTTCGTCAATTATATAGATGATTGGATGTAAACGTAGGAGGTATGGTTAGTAAGTTTGCAGATGACACCAAAATAGGAGGTGTAGTAGACAACAAAGAAGGTTACCTCAGATTACAGTAGGATCTTGATCAGATGGGCCAATGGACTGAGGAGTGGCAGATGGAGTTTAATTTAGAGAAATGTGAGGTGCTGCTTTTTAGAAAGGCAAATCAAGGCAGGACTTATACACTTAATGATAACATCCTGGGAACTGTTGCTGAACAAAGAGACCTTGGAGTTTATAGTTCCTTGAACGTGGAGTCGCAGGTAGATAGGATAGTGAAGAAAGCAATTGGTACGCTTGCCTTTATTGGACAGTGCATTGAGTATGGGAGTTAAGAAGTCATGTTACGGCTGTTCAGGACATTGGTTCGGCCACTTTTGGAACACTGCGTGCAATTCTGGTCTCCCTGCTATAGGAAGGATTTGTGAAACTTGAACGGGTTCAGAAAAGATTTACAAGGATGTTGCCAGGGTTGAAGGATTTGAGCTATAGGGAGAAGCTGAATAGGCTGGGGCTATTTTGCCTGGAGTATTGGAGGCTGAGAAGTGATTTTATAGAAGTTTATAAAATCATGAAGGGATGGATAGGATAAATAGACAAGGTCTTTTCCCTAGGGTGTGGGAATCCAAAACTAGAGGGCATAGGTTTAAGGTGAAAGACGAAAGATTTACAAGAGACCTAAGGGGCAATTTTTTTCACAGAGGGTGGTGCATATATGGAATAAGCTGCCAGAGGAAGTGGTGGAGAATGGTACAATTACAACATTTAGCAAACATCTGGATGGGTATATGAATAGGAAGGGTTTAGATGGATATGGGCTGAATGCTGACAAATGGGACTAGATTTATTTAGGATATCTGGTCAGTATGGATGAGTTGGATCGAAGGGGCTGCTTCCATGTGTACATCTCTATGACTCTGACTCATTCTGGATGTACTGCGAAAATATAGAGATATCAAAAGCTAATAATTGTTCCCAATGGCCATACTGTCTCAAAGTAAATAAACCAGTCAGTACAGTAATATAAAACCACAGCAGCATGAGCAATGAATAATTCATTCAATTTCTATTTTCAACAGTTTTGTCACTTTAGACTCAACATTCTGCAATTTGATCTTGATCAGTTTCCAATAGCTTCATGATTACAGTTGTTGATTTGAACCTCAAAAAAATGAAAAATGCTTTGCTAACTTTCCTGAACTGGAATATTTTAACAAAGGTTTTCTAGGCAAAAACTTACACTGGCAAAATGCCTTTATGATCTCAGGACATAAGAAATTTAAGTATTTTGATTATTGGTCACCTGTTATAATGGAAAGAAACTCAGCCCCTAATTTAACCACAGCCAGGTCACATAAATAGCAAGATAAATAACCAGAAGATCTGCTTTGAATTTATTGAGGAATAACTTCAGGGATTCTATGATTGTACGATTCCAAATGTTAGTCAGGACATGAGAACTTATTTCGTCTTCCTAGAAAAGTGTTCTTGAATTTTTTACACACAATTGAAAGGGCAGACAGAGTCTTGGTTCATCATATCACTTATAATTCAGCACTTTGTGCAGTTAAGCACTTCCTTTGATCTCAACTCTCAGCTTTTATTCTCTGCTGAAGTGGACATTGAATCCCAAACAGTTGTCTTGTTAAAAATTTTTTCATCGGATGTCAACGTTGTGTTCAAGGGCAGTATTATTTACCAATCCTTAAGTATATCTAAACATGTGAATTAGGACAAGAAGTAGGCCATTTGGCCCCTCGAACCTGCTGTACTATTTAATAAGATCATGACTGATTTGTTTGTGTTTCACATTTGTTATGGTCCATACAAAACCCTCTTTAAATATATCAAGGAGAAAGCCTAGACCCTAACTTGTATCTTACTTAAAGCCAAGTGTAAGGTGCTGTGTTCCAGATAAAATTTGATTGGTCACGCTACTCCAATTTAAGCAAAACACACTTTATTCTCACACCTAGTTAAAATACTAACAAAAAAGAATTGATGTAACTTTAATTCTATTGGAAAACTTAACAGAATAATAGATTATTTAACTACTAAACAACAACTGTTCCAATGTAGTAACATCCCACAAACACAGTCTTGACAAAGGTAAATTCAGTACAATAGATTGTCTCGCATGTGATATGAATTGTAAAAAGCTGAACACCTAGCATAAATGCCACTGCTCACATACCAAACAGGAAAAAAAAAGACCCATTTATGCATGTTCTCTGTTTTCTGCCAGCTAGCCAATCTTCTATCTGTCCTCATATGTTACTCCTACACCATGAGCTCCTACTTTGCACAATAATCTTTCATTTGGAATCTCGTCAAACGCCTTCTGGAAATTGTCCTTTAGACAATAGTGGTGAGCTGCCTTCTTGAACTGTTGCAGTACATCTGGTGCAGGTACACTTACCATGCTGTCAGAAAGAGAGTTCCAGAATTTTCATTCCGCGAGAGTGAAGTAATGGTGATATAGTTTAAAGTCTTGATGTTGCGTGGCTTTGAGGTGAACATGTAAGTTGTGATGGTCCATTTGTTACTCATTGTTTTGGGTGACAGAGGTCACCCATGTTTGGAAGGAACACATTCGTGAGATGCTACAATGCATGTTAATGTAGTACATTCATATAGATGTGATCACACATTCCCTACAGTGTGGAAACAGGCCCTTCAGGGCAACAATTCCACACCGACCATCCAAAGAGCACCATGCCCAGATCCATCCACCTGCCCCTTTTCCCTGTAACCTACCTAATCTATACATCTCTGAACACCATGGGCAATTTAGCATGGTCAATCACAGTCCATCCATCTTTGGACTGTAGGAGGAAACTGGAGCACCCAGAGGAAGCCCACCCAGAGGGAGAATGTGCAAACTGCACACAGTCGCCCCAGGTGGGAATTGAACCCAGGTCACCGGTGCTGTGAGACAGCAGTGCTAACCACTGAGCTACCGTGCCACCCTTGATCTTTATGCCTTCAATGCCTTCATAAATATGGTCATTGATTTCAGTCTCAATAACAGGGAAAATCCTTAGCTAACTTTACTGAACTGGGATGTTTTGACAAAGCTTTTCTAAGCAAAAACTTACAGTTACATAATTCCACTGTGTATCAGTAGTGCTGAGAGTAATGTTTAAATTGGTGTATATGGTGTTGATAAGTGGGATGCTTTTTCCTGGATGGTAACAAGCTCCTTGAGTGTAGTTGGAGCTACCACTCATCCAGGCAAGTGAGGAGTGTTTCATCTTATTACTGACTTGTGCTTTGTAGATGTTGGACAGTGTTTGGGCGGAGGGGGTGAGTTACATGTCTCTGAATTCCTAGCCTCTGACCTGCTCTTGTGGTCACCATATTGATATTGCTGGTCCAGTTCAGCTTCTGGTCAATTGAAACACCAACACTTTTTATGGTTGGGAATACAATGATGTGGGTGCAATTCAATGTCAAGGAGCAATGGCTAGATTTTCATTTTTGGAGATATTCACTGCCTGCTGTTTCCATGGCCTACATGTTACATGCCAATCATTAGCCCAGTTAACATCAAGAGTTAACTCAATCTTCATCCAAGTGGAGGATCTGAATTCCCAACACTTTTTTTTTGAAAATACGCTTCTTTTGTAGTACCTTGAGGCCTTCCCCTGTGTTAAAGACACTATATAAATGCAATATGTTATAGATTTCTGCATTACAGAAGTGAGGAGAAATTGACTAGGTTGGGATTGTTTTTGCTAGAGTTCAGACGAATAAGGTGGGATTTCATAGAGAATTATAAAATTCTAACAGCACTGGACAGGGTAGATGCAGGGAGGATGTTGTGGGTGTGTCCAGCACCAGGGGTCACAGTATGAGGATTCAGGGTAGACGATTTAGGACGGAGATGCGACATTTCTTCACCCAAAGAGTGGTGAGCCTGTGGAATTCATTACCACAGGAAGTAGTTAATGCCAAAACATTGAATGTATTTAAGAAGCAACTAGATATAGCACTTGGGGTGATTGCGATCAAAGGTTATGGGGAGAAAGCAGGATTAGGCTATTGAGTTGGACGATCAGCCATGAGCGTGAGGAATGGCGAAGCAGGCTTGAAGGGCTGAATGGCCTCCTCCTGCTCCTATCTTCTATGTTTCTATGACTATACTTCAAAAGTACTCAGGTGGCTTTAAAGCGCTTTGAGATGCTAAGTAGCCATGAATGGTGCCACAAAAATGTAAATCCTCATTTTTCAAAAATGTCTGATTAGAACTCTCTTAGCCGTACTTGATGGTTTGTAATATGGAGATTTAATTTTACTTGGACATGTTCAAGAAATAATGTCCTGTACTTACCAGCTTCCCATGGATTCCAGGGTTCTGCTGATCCAGAGACGATCTTTCCTCCTGAAGGGAAACAGACATGTTTCTTTGGTTTAGCTTTCAATCCATTATTTAAACTTGTGTCCTGTTGAACAGTAGTGACATCTTTGGCATCCACATTGTTAGTGAGTACAGGTGTTTGCAGCTCTCCCTCGTAGGCATTTTCTGTTGCACTCATCTCATTGTTTGTAGCCTGATGTGAAAACACAGTCACAGGTTCTCTAGTTTCACAGAACTGTCCATGTGATATCTTTCACTGTAGTTTAATAATTTAAAAAGAAACTACATGAACCTGTCTACTGAGCTAGAGATTTTCATATTCATCTTGTCTTCCTCACAAATTATTTTTCTTCCATGAAGTAAATATTTAATTACAGTTTTATGTGCTTCATACCTCGTAATCAGGTTTGTTTTCCTGAATGTTTAATATTACAAAAATATTGCCAACATGTCTGGAGTTACCCAAATGTGCGTAAGTTGCATGAAATAATACGAAATACATCCCATTACCAACAAATATAATGTAAGAAATATACTAAAGATACAATATTTTATGTAAAATAGATCAGGGCTACTTACCAGTCTGTAAGATCTAAGACTAAATTTCAAATTTTCCTTCCTTATTTTCTTCCCTCATGGACGAATACCAGCACTAGTTGATCCTCTCTAACCTGTCCATTGTCAGTAGTAATTGGTTACATGACCAAACAACTAGACTGAAAATACAGGGCTGGTCTCAGAAGTAGCAGTTAGTTAGATGATAATGCCTATGGGGTATTCCATTATATACTTCAGTTAAAAAACTGATAATTTTATTTCTTCTAAACCTTTTCCATTAAATGTTTTGGGGAAAAAAAATCATTGAGAGAAAAGAGGAAGTAATGATGTAAAGTGGGGCCATTTGATCTTTTTGCCTTCATGTGCTCTGCAAGTGTCTCCCACAGGACGTTAGGGTTAGATGTAAATTTGAAATTAAATCTGTGGTCTCATTAATTTACCCATATTTCAAATTGCTGGTATTAACACATCTTTACAGAGGCACAAGTCAGAGTTTTACAGTGTGGGAAAGTTCAGTCCATTATTTCCGTGCTGGAGATCAAACTCCTATCTACATCATGAATGTTGTGATGGCTGCCACCTTTACTATATTTTCAGGCAGTGAATTCCAGATTCACACCGTGCTTCCCTTAATCCCCTCTAAACACATACTTCAAACCTATGTCAAAACCTAAAAAAACTGTGGTTGCTGTAAATCAGAAACAAAATCAGAAACTCAACCAGAAACGTTAACTCTGATTTCTCCCCACACTTGCTACCAGCAATTTCTGCTTTTGCTCCTTCAATCTATGTCCCCTTGTTATGGAGTACTCTACTAAGGGGAAAAGATTCTTTCCTAACCACCCTATCATGTTGCTTCGTAATTTTTGCATATCTCTGTCAGGTTCCCCTTTTTTCCTTCTCTGCTCTAAGGAAAACAACATCAGCCTAATTATTCTGTCTTCATAGCTGAAACATTCCAAACTCAGGCAACATCTCTATCCTACAGTGTGAACTGAACTGCTCACTTTACTCCAGTTGTGACCTAAGTAACATGTTGTACAGCTGCATCATAATCTCCCTGCTCTTTTGTTCAATACCTCAACTAATAATGGCAAGTACCCATATGCTTTCTTAACCACCTTATCTAACTGTCCTGTTGCTTTCAAGGATCTTTGGATGTGCACACTAAAGTCCTGATCACATGTACTTCCTAGGGCCTCACCATTCATCATGTACTCTCTTGTCTTGTCATCATGTACTCCGAAATGCATCACTTTATACTTTTTTGGATTAAATTTGTTCTGCCAGCCCATCTATACTAGCCTGTAGTCTAAGGCTTTCCTCCTTTCTGTTCAACAAACCATCGATTTTCATGTGATCTGTGCACTTGCTGATTAAACCTGCTATTTTCATGTCCAGACCTTTAATGTACACTACAAACAGCAAGGAAGCAGCAGCAAACGCTGTGGTACACCACTGGATATAAATTTCCAGTCACAAAGGCTATCACACTACACAACCTGCCACTAATCCAATTTTGACTCTAATTTGCCAGATTTCCCTGGATTCCATGGGCTCTTAATTTCTTAACCAATCTTCTATGTGAGGCCTTGTCAAGAGCCTTACTGAAGTTCATGTAGACTACATCCAGCACACTACCATAGATTAGGTGGTGGCATGGTGGTATTATCAATAGACTACTAATCCAGAGATCCAGGTAATGCTCTGGGGACATGGCAGATGATAGGATTTGAACTTAATAATAATCTGGAAACAAGAGTCTGATGATGACCATGAAACAGTTGTCGATTGTCAAGGGAAAAACCCATCTTATTCACTAATGTCCTTTAGGGAAGGAAATGTGCCATCCTTACCTGGTCTGGCCTACACATGACTCCAGACCCACTGCAATGTGGTTGGCTCCTAACTGCCCTCTGGGCAATTAGGAATGGGCACTGAATGCTGGCCCATCCAGAGATGTTCACATGCTGTGATTGAATTAAAAACCCTCATCTACACATCTAGTCAGTTGTTTCAGCGGCGGGAGTCCGGGAGGAAGCGCGAGGGCAGCCTGGGAAGGTGAGCTTTTCGATTATAAAAGTCCTACCTCGCGTGACTCCATTTTTGGAGTAAGTGAGGTAATATATTTACCCGAAACACTACCTAGGTAGTGTCTCCCACCCATCCTCCTCCTCGAACCAAAAAAAAAGGTCCTGAGCGCTGATTTGGTAAGGCTACTAGTTTTTTTTTATTTGTCTATTTGGGAATTCAGAACAGTGGGAATGGATGTTAGGGCAGTTGTATGCTCCTCCTGTAGAATGTGGGGGGTAAGGGTCACCACTAGTGTCCCCACTGACTTCATCTGCGGGAAGTGCACCCAACTCCAGCTCCTCAGAAACCGTGTTAGGGAACTGAGCTGGAGCTGGATGAACTTCGGATCATTCGGGAGGCTGAGGGGGTAATTGAGAGGAGTTACGGGGAGGTAGTCACACCTCAGGTACAGGAAAAAAGTAGATGGTTACAGTCGGGGACGGAAAGGGAACAGGCAGACAGTGCAGGGATCCCCTGTGGCCATTCCCCTCAAAAACAAGTATACCGTTTTGGATACTGTTGGGGGGGACGACTTACCAGGGGTAAGCCATGGGGTACAGGTCTCTGGCACAGAGTCTGTCCCTGTTGCTCAGAAGGGAAGGGGGAAGAGGAGGAGAGCATTAGTCATTGGGGACTCCATAGTTAGGGGGACAGATAGGAGATTCTGTGGGAACGAGAGAGACTCGCGGTTGGTGTGTTGCCTCCCAGGTGCCAGGGTCCGTGATGTCTCGGATCGTGTTTTCGGGATCCTTAAGGGGGAGGGGGAGCAGCCCCAAGTCGTGGTCCACATAGGCACCAACGACATAGGTAGGAAAAGGGATGGGGATGTAAGGCAGAAATTCAAGGAGCTAGGGTGGAAGCTTAGAGCTAGAACAAACAGAGTTGTTATCTCTGGTTTGTTACCCGTGCCACGTGCTAGCGAGGCGAGGAATAGGGAGAGAGAGCAGTTGAACACGTGGCTACAGGGATGGTGCAGGAGGGAGGGATTCAGATACCTGGGTAATTGGGGCTCATTCTGGGGTAGGTGGGACCTCTACAAACGGGATGGTCTACACCTGAACCAGAGGGGTACCAATATCCTGGGGGGGAAATTTGCTAATGCTCTTCGGGAGGGTTTAAACTAATTCAACAGAGGGGTGGGAACCTGAATTGTAGCTCCAGTGTACAGGAGGTTGAGAGTAGTGAGGTCATAAATAAGGTTTCAAGGTCGCAGGAGTGTACCGGCACACAGGAAAGTGGTTTGAAGTGTGTCTACTTCAATGCCAGGAGCATCCGGAATAAGGTGGGTGAACTTGCAGCATGGGTTGGTACCTGGGACTTCGATGTTGTGGCCATTTCGGAGACATGGATAGAGCAGGGACAGGAATGGTTGTTGCAGGTTCCGGGGTTTAGATGTTTCAGTAAGATCAGGGAAGGTGGTAAAAGAGGGGGAGGTGTGGCATTGTTAGTCAAGGACAGTATTACGGTGGCAGAAAGGACGTTTGATGACAACTCGTCTACTGAGGTAGTATGGGCTGAGGTTAGAACCAGGAAAGGAGAGGTCACCCTGTTGGGAGTTTTCTATAGGCCTCTGAAAAGTTCCAGAGATGTAGAGGAAAAGATTGCAAAGATGATTCTGGATAGGAGCGAAAGTAACAGGGTAGTTGTTATGGGGGACTTTAACTTTCCAAATATTGACTGGAAATGCTATAGTTCGAGTACTTCAGATGGGTCAGTTTTTGTCCAATGTGTGCAGGAGGGTTTCCTGACACAGTATGTAGATAGGCCAACAAGAGGCGAGGCCACATTGGATTTGGTACTGGGTAATGAACCAGGCCAGGTGTTAGATTTGGAGGTAGGTGAGCACTTTGGTGATAGTGACCACAATTCGGTTACGTTTACTTTAGCGATGGAAAGGGATCGGTATATACCGCAGGGCAAGAGTTATAGCTGGGGGAAAGGCAATTATGAGGCGATGAGGCAAGATTTAGGATGCATAGGATGGAGAAGGAAACTGCAGGGGCTGGGCACAATTGAAATGTGGAGCTGGTTCAAGGAACAGCTACTGTGTGTCCTTGAGAAGTATGTACCTGTCAGGCAGGGAGGAAGTGGTCGAGCGAGGGAACCGTGGTTTACTAAAGAAGTTGAATCTCTTGTCAAGAGGAAGAAGGAGGCTTATGTAGAGATGAGGCGTGAAGACTCAGTTAGGGCGCTTGAGAGTTACAAGTTAGCCAGGAAGGACCTAAAGAGAGAGCTAAGAAGAGCCAGGAAGGGACATGAGAAGTCTTTAGCAGGTAGGATCAAGGAAAACCCTAAAGCTTTCTATAGGTATGTCAGGAATAAAAGAATGACTCGAGTAAGATTGGGGCCGGTCAAGGACAGTCATGGGAAGTTGTGCGTGGAGTCCGAAGAGATAGGAGAGGTGCTAAATGAATATTTTTCGTCAGTATTCACACAGGAAAAAGACAATGCAGTCGAGGAGAATACTGAGATACAGTCTATTAGACTAGACGGGATTGAGGTTCATAAGGAGGAGGTGTTAGCAATTCTGGAAGGTGTGAAAATAGATAAGTCCCCTGGGCCGGATGGGATTTATCCTAGGATTCTCTGGGAAGCTAGAGAGGAGATTGCAGAGCCTTTGGCTTTGATCTTTATGTCATCATTGTCTTCAGGAATAGTGCCAGAAGACTGGAGACTAGCAAATGTTGTCCCCTTGTTCAAGAAGGGGAGTAGAGACAACCTTGGTAATTATAGACCAGTGAGCCTTACTTCGGTTGTGGGTAAAGTGTTGGAAAGGATTATAAGAGAT